AAAGCCACGCCCCTTTTTCGCGATAGAAAAAGTGGCTTTTTTTGGTTTTTCAACTTTCATTTTGCTGTAGTTGCAAAAATATGTGGAACTGGATAATAAACTTTGACACACATGTACAGAAAAAGCTTCCTCTTTCGTTTAAAAAAATATTTCACGCTTTTTTTGATGCGTTCGCGCGGAATGTCGTACAAAAAAACGTGAATGGAACTAAAAAAATTTTTGTCGTTTTTGCTTTTTTTCATGTGTTTTCAGGTCGAACGCACTCTTTCTTTTTTTATATAATGATTTTTGATTCAAGTAACGGTAATTTTAAAACAATAAAATAAAAAAATTCGTCTTTGCCAAAAATTTTTAGGGAGTGCTGAAAGTCATAATTCAAAAATATCGTTAATAAGCGAATATAATCGAGTTTTTTTGTTTTTTTCAAAAATTTAGACCATGGGCTTACTTAAATTTTTCTCCACAGCATCTGTGTTTGAAAAAGTTGTGTGATACGCAAAAATGCTCTTGAAAATAGAGAATAAAATTAGCGGCGTTTATCACACAGAAAGCGGTCGAACGCAGGTTTTTCAAACGATTATATACATTTATTAGTAAAAAAATCTTTCAATTAAAAAGAATAAAATAAAAAAATTCGTCTTTGCCGAAAATATACGGGGCCGTTTTAATGCAGCGATCGTTAAATGAGGGCAAAAAGCACTGAAAAAAACAGTTTTTTTCGAAATGATTTTCCACGAAACGTTTGAGTAAAGATTTGCGAACATATTCTGATAAAAAAATAGCTTAATTACTTCAAGTTTTTTTCTTTTTTTGAAATAGGCAATCTGTGCTATTTAAACGGCTCAAGGCTAAGGCGGATGGAAGCTCCCCGCGTTAGACCTGACAGCTTGGCGCAGTGCGTGCGCTGCGATTTTTTTCATTTTGAGGTCGCGAGTTCGATACCCGCAAGCGTCAGTTTTTTTGTTTTTCTGCAAAAATACCGACTTTTTCCGGCAAAAATAGCTGATTAGCATCATTTTAGCACTCTATTATAATTTGTTACATCATAATAGACCAGTATCAAAAACTTGTTCTAGAAGAAAAAAATCGAGAAAAAAATGTCAAAAAAATGGATAATACCAAAAAAATTCAGTACTAAAAAAATGGTGCGCGGCGCCCCACATTTTTCGTCATAACTTTTTTTCATCCTCAATCTTTTTGAAAAAAACTAAACGGTTCTGAGTTTTTGAATCGAAACAGCTATCAAACCATACATAGCTCAATGCTGAAAAAAATTTTTTGAAAATTCGTCTGCGGTCCCTAGCTTAAAACTGTTCCCACAAGTTGCCTTGGAGAAATGCTCAGTGTTTCTGCCCCTCACTATCAAAAAATGGAAAAATTAATGAAAAAAATCCTTCAAATAGCTTTTTTGGTCTCCTTTTCAGAATGAACTGTCAACCAGAGCGGGTGTGAGAAAATATGAAAAATGAAAGAAGATTCCTAAGAAAATTTAATTGCTACCGGTTACGTCAGGGTTAGACTAGTTGAATGCATAATCGAAAAATCTGAAGGAATTCGCAAAACTTCCGGTGTTTTTCAATGATTTATTCAGGCGTGTTCGAAATTCGTGGAAAGGTGAAATGAGGACAGTTGTACTCGTGCGAAATTTCAATTTTCAAACCTTATTTGGTCCTGAGGCGTGCAAAGTAACACTATACCGACAATTTTTATCCATTTATTTAAATTTGAAAGTAGATAATGTACAGAATAGTTACTCAATTCCAATGATCGGAGTTCGCGAGGCTCCTGCTGATACTCGGCCTCGTGGTACTGACAGTATTTATAGTTTGAACCTTCTGTTTTTTCACCTTTGTCACCCATTCTTTCAATCCGATTCTGAACACATCTTTATTTCATTTCAGATCTTTCAATTTGACAAACCGATAGGGTTGAACGTAGTAAATAGACAGTATTGGTGACAAGGCCGGCGGGAACATTAAAAGCAGAAACACTGAGTTTTCCACCGCTGAATGTTGGATGTGAAAGAAGTGCATGGCGGTGAAGATGAGGTCGGCAATGTACATGAGAAAAGGAAGTGAGGCTTGTATTGCGAGAGCCTGGGAGTATTAATCATCATCTTATCATCATTTTTTTTTACCTTCATCAAAGTCTTGTGAACCCGTTTTGTACTTGAACTCAAAGAGTTGTCAACTCTTTGTAGAATCAAATGCGCTTTCCGTCTCATTATTATCACCGCAAAACATCCGACCATCGCGACGAGGAACAGATATGTTGCACTTCCTGTAACTTTCGGAATCGGAAAAGTCTCGGATTTTTCAAAACCTCCATTGGAAATCGTGAAAAAAGACTGTAAGAAGACATGAGGCACGATATTCCAATCAACGTTATTCCTTTGTTCTTTCAAAGCTTCAATCACCTTCGGGTCTGTTTCGAGAGCAGAGATGAAGGTTAACTGAAAAATTTCAACGTTTCTATGTTTGAACTTCCAAGAGGTCGAGAAAACTTACAAACATGGCAAAACTGGGCAAGTAAAACAGTGCTATGGTGAGCCAAAGCATCTTCTTAGTCGGCGATGGGTGTCTCAGCACGAAAAGACGATAGCCGAAGGAGATTACGGTAAGCATCATACAATGAGCCATTCCGTGGAGCATGATGGCGTGGCCTGAAAAAAGCTATAAATAAAGAGGTTTTGACTTATAAGCTACCATAAAAGCAGGTTAGGTTACCGAAATATTTGCAAGGGCCATGAAAAATATACGCCAGGTTGTCGCCAATCATAACAACTCTGAAAGTTATTGATTTTTTTTCATACTGATCAATAAAATACCGTGACATGACAAATCCTAATGCGGCAGAGCAGATCAGGTCCGTTATAGCGACGTTCATTAGTAGAATCCTTGAAACATGTTTTATCAGCTTTGAGATGAAGTTTGGTCTTTTCTAATATTTTTTTTAATTATCAAAGTTTTTGCCAATTTTTCTTATCTTCTTCACCCTTATACAGATTCAAAAAAAATGTCACCTGGGCTCCTTTTTGAGATATTTATACTTCACTTATCATATCATGTCGAACTTTTAATTTTTCCGCTTCAATGGTTCTGGAGAATCTTTTGAAAAAATCTAAAATCCTGCACTTTGATCCTCAGCATGACGAATGATTTTTGAACATTTTGTAGTTCTTGTACGTCATCGAACCCACCAATAAGGCTTCAAAAGTCGCGTCGTTTTGGTTGCAATTAACAAAATGAAAATCAAGTTGAAGGCGATTCCCATAACTGTCGCAACAGCGTGCGAAAAATAGGAGATTTCGTCGAAAACATCCATAAAAAATCTAAAAAAAAAAAGTTAGGTAGTTGTTTGCGAAAATAAACATTTATAAAGTAGGCGAAAATGATGTTTTCGAGAAAGTTCCGGCACGGCTCAAATCGTTGCAGCATGCCAATCAGGAACTGACAATGCGCAAGTAGTTTTTGGTCGGGCGCAAATCAAGCGTGGCGCATCATTAAATATTCAAAGTTCTGTGTTTTTTTATATGAAAATGTCACGAAAAAAGGAGCACGATTTGAAAATTGTCAAAATGGCGCAGTGGATAGAGTTCTTTTTCGGCAGTCCGAAGACAAAGGTTCAAACCCTTTTAGTTTTCATTTTGTCATTCAATTCGCGATTATTTTGGTAAAATTAATAGGCTGCCATTGAAAAGCAAAGAAGAACAAGAAAAGACTGAACAGGCAAGGTTCTATTAGAAAGTTGAAGCTTAAAATTAAAGTAGTGCATTTGTGTTGCGATTCAAGTGTGAATTTAATAAAAAAGAAAAAAAACCAGACTGAAAGGTTAAAAACCTTTGTTTTACGCTTGAGCACTAATTAATGATGATTAGAAAAAGTACTGCCTTTTGACTTAATTTTTGATCGTTGAGCCTCAATTTTATGCTCTTGCTATTGAGCGAGGCGTTCAGAAAAAGCCACAGTCCTGAATCGAAAAGAGGTGACAAAATGAAAGTCAAAAATCATTTTGGATTCGAAAAATGCGTGGGGTGATAGACTTATTAGACAATTTCCGACTTTTTGAATGAATAGAGAGATAACATATTTTTGTAAAAAGAAAAGGGCGATTGTACTGGACCCGACTCCCAGCCCCGCCTCAGCGCTCCCACCTTTTAGGAAATTAATTACGTCAGTTTCTATATTTTTTTTCTCAGTGTCCCGTGTTTGCATTTGTGAATATGATTTACAAAGACGAAAAAAATTAAATAATTAGTTGAATATTTGAAGGTTAGGAAAGTATGAGAAAAGAGAAGCATCTTTTCGATCAATCAAAAAACGTTTTGTGGAAATCTTATAATGGCAAAAGTCTTTCAGAAACGGAGTTCGAACTGTTTAACAGAAAATGAAGTTATTTCAATTTGGTCAAAGTTTTAATTTTTCTCAAATTTTGGATTCTGGTTCTGAGTTGCCTTGATTCGAAAAAAAGTTCACGATCTTTAAAGGCGAATAAGTGTTAGTGTAAGCTGTCAGAGATTTCTCAAGAATAGTTTGGTTAAGTTTATGATGACACGGTAGAAAAGAAGTGTGTAGTAGTGCCTATTGCAGACAACCACATGCATTTCATTCTCCGCGCAATTTGTTTATTTTTTTCTATTCATTTTGATAACTTTGAAAATGTTTTTTTTCATTCAATTTCTAGCTTCCTTATGCATTTAAAATTTGTTAATATTTAATCTGTCTTTTATATTGAAGCTGGGCTATCGTAACTTCCAAAAAACTTGCCGACTTTTTCCATTTCTTTGGGCCAGCTTCCAAGGTCACGGCGTTCCAAAAGGGAACCTCGCAGTGGAGAAAAATGAGGCAGAAAGTACCGCGCCTCAATTGCAGAAAACTGGGCGTGGTTTAGTTTTGTATTGGGAATTCAAAACCTTATTACTTTTTACATTTTCATTTCTGAGTGTTACGTCTGTGTTTATATTGTTCGTCAGCTCTGACTTCATATAAGTTGGTTGTGTCATGTCGCTCCTCTGCCGTTTACCGCATTAGCTGAGGAAAAAAGAAAAATGATAATTCGCGAGTTTTTAATTTTCATGCCATGTATTCGACTTCTTTCTGCTTGATTCATGTGCAGAATGAGTTTTTCTACAATCTCAAACTGTTCAAAAAATCTTTGCCGGCAAAAATGATTTTTAAACTGAATTTCATGGAATCTTGTCAAATTTTGGGTGTTCCGCGCGAAAGACTAAAACTTTGTGGTATGTCGGTCAATCTTTTATTTTGATGGCTGAAAATGTTCTCACAGGTTTATTCAAAAGAACATGGTTAATTAGAGAATTGGAAAAATTTTTAGAGAACACCTGCGAAGATCGCAGAACTACGCAGCAAATGAGCGTTTTTCCATTATCATTCTATGTGATTTTTGTCAAAACTTCTCAACAACATTCATTCAACTTTTTTTGTTTTACGTTTCACTATCATTCTTTCATCTTTCAAACAATAAATACCATAGGCTTGTAGCTGAAAATTTTTCGTAAAACCGATTTGAAGGCTGAGAAGCAATTATACGGATAATTTCCAGTGAAACTTCATCTAATTGCTTTTTGTTGAATATGTGAATTGATAGTGATCAAATAATAGATCACGTGAGAGATATCCCAACTAAGAGTATAAAAAGAAGTCGGGAACTCAGATCTTGATTGCTCGTACCGCCCACCATTCGCCTCCAGTTCCTCCGTCGCTTCCAGCTACGGACTAATCGACAACTACCTCTCCAATCTCCACTCTCCATCTTTATTCACCACTGATAATAAATAAGTGGCGAGTACTCTTCTTTCTGACACGCACACAAAGATACATTAAAGTGGCGATCAGTAAGCGGACTAACTAAATAAAAAGAAAGAAATAATGACGGAAAAACCCTGTTGTGTCATCAAACTCATACCTGACGAAAGGACCCGGTGCCTACGTACCGGGCACGTCATGGGAAATATATGAGAAGATGTTCAACAATTTTTCTGAAGATGCGTAAAAGTAACGGTTGATACGGAAAAAAAGCGTGCATATTAGTATGCGAAATAGGTGTCACAGTTTACGCAGAAATAGAATCCCTGTCTGATAAACCTATAGAAAATCTGTCGTACGACGAGTTGATAATTTTGCTCAGGAAGCGTTACATGCCAAAGAAATTGACGCTGGCAGAAAGAGTGAAGTTATTAAACATTGTCCAAACAGAGGGTCAAACAGCAGAGGAATTCTATACGGAATTAAGAAAGATCGCAACCCACTGCGAATTTGACAAAGTAACAAATGTATTAAATATGATGGTTACAATGTTATTCGTAAGAGGGTTGAGAGAGGAAAAGGTCAGAGCGCAGTTGTTGAACAAAGTTAAGCTTACGGGACCGGAAGCACTATTAAAATATCGGATAACACCACACCCTGCCACCGGGAAGTCACCATGCATGATGCTCATGGGTCGACAATTACGATCGAGATTGGATTTAGTAGTGCCAAAAGGTAGCTCGGTAAAATTGAACCATACACAGGAAAATATGAAAGTGATGGAAAATTACCGTAGAAGAACTACCGAATACCATGACAGAAAGGCCAAATCGAAGGAGTTCCAAATAGGAGAAATAGTCTTTGCCCGAAACTACCGAGAAGGAGAGAAATGGGTAAAAGGGGCTATTATAGAAAAGAAAGGAACTCGATGGTTCGTAATTGCAGTACCGGGTTTAGGCAGGTGGAAGAGACACTTGAATCAAATGAAGAAGTTTGTGTCTAAAAGGGAAGGAGACTCCGGAAATACCGAAATAGTAATAGAAAAGCGTACAGTAGTACAGCAGAAGGAGCCGGTAATAAAACCGACCTTACCAGTCAGAACGTCTATCAGGAAAAGACAACCACCAGCCCATTTAAAAGATTATGTGACTACGTTACCTCAAAGCGCGAAAGACAAAGTGAAAAGAGTGCGTTTTGAAAATGAGATGATCCACCACGTAAAAGGGATCTGGAATCATCGAAGTGGAAATGAGAGTAAAAAAGTCGTAGTCAATCCGCGTGAAGATGGGAGGTGGATAAGAAAGGGTATAAAAGACATGATGGAAACAGATAGACACAAGAAGATGTCGGACAAACCATCTCGCAAGAAGAGCAAGCACCACGAAGGACGACCGCCGGCCGCGAAAAAACCTCGCGAACAAACGCCGCCGGAACAGCACCAAGAAGAGTTACCTTTCGTGCCTACATACTTAAGACTCCACCGGATCCAACAAAGTTTGAACAGCTTGAAAGATCAAATGGAGGTACGGTCATTTCCTAAGATAAAGATAAAAATCTAAAAAGGAAAGGAGTGTTGAATATGTGAATTGATAGTGATCAAATAATAGATCACGTGAGAGATATCCCAACTAAGAGTATAAAAAGAAGTCGGGAACTCAGATCTTGATTGCTCGTACCGCCCACCATTCGCCTCCAGTTCCTCCGTCGCTTCCAGCTACGGACTAATCGACAACTACCTCTCCAATCTCCACTCTCCATCTTTATTCACCACTGATAATAAATAAGTGGCGAGTACTCTTCTTTCTGACACGCACACAAAGATACATTAAACTTTTTTTTGATTCGAAAGCTTCCACTATTTCATGGACATCATGATAATCACAAAAAAATACTCTGAATTTAATCGAAACGTCTCAGAAAAAGTCAAAAACGAAGTTTTAACAAATTGTGAATTTACAAAAAAAAAATTCTGTTGCGCAAGTACGCTCCAACGAACGCAAGGGCGCGGTAAAATGACACGCCTCATCGGCTCGCTTGCGGGTTCCTTTTTGGAACGCCATGAGGTAAGTTAACATAAATTTGCGAAAAAAACAAGATTCTCTGGAATTTTTTTCTCATAAATAATGATTTTCCGTGTTTTCGATGTTTTTCATCTGTTTAAGTTTTAAATGCAATTTTCAGGGCCATTATGCTGATTTTATGTGCGTTTTTTTTTATGGTTAAGTTGAAAAAAAAATGAATTTATAGATTTTTCGTCGCAGTTCATTTTCCTGTCAATGTTCGATGGCAGGATAAGTTTTTGAGAAGTTCGAAGCCGTCCCGGCGACATAAATTGGAGGTAGTTGATTCTTGTATCCTGTACATCTTCTGGTCCATTCCAGTAGGCCTTTTTCTAAAGATAAAGAAATTCATTCTTTTTAGAAAAAAAGAGAAAAAAATTTTACAAACCTGTAGGGCCGAACGTAGTAAATGTACAAGATAGGGGACAAGGCCGGCGGAAAAGTCGTTATCAGGAAAACTGAGCTTTCAACGGGCGAAGATTTTATTTCGAAAAGGTAGATCGAGGTGAACATCAAGTCGGCGATGTACATAAGGAATGGAAGGGAAGCTTGAACCGCTAGGGCCTGGAAAAAGGGAAAAATAGTTTGAGCAGCGTTCAGCAACGACATTTTGACTATAGTTCAGCTGGAGTTACGTTGCTTGATGTGATATTCGACTATTTTATGTTGAATTTTTGGAAATTGATGTGGAAAATCCAGAAGTTTAGGAGAAAGAAAAAGGTAAAAAAGTTTCGAATTTCCGAAAAAGGTTTTCTCCCAATTATTTAGATATAAATGGTACAAATCTCAAGATCTTACTCGGGTAACCAGTAGTAAGAACTTTGCAACTCAGTACAGACTAGTTTGCATACAAACTGCAGGAAGTTTGCAGTTTGTAAGCAGAAACAGGCTGAGTTGTAGCTCGACAGAGGGTCATTTGCAGCTAGGTTGCAATTTTGGCTGTATTGCAAGTTCTTCGTAAGGCTGCAATTGAGCTGCAAACGAGTTGCAGGTAACTTGAAAACGGATCGTTCGACCTTTTTCAAATTGCGAAATTGTTTACAGATTTTTTCAAGATTTATGAATAATAAGAACATTTTTGGAACTCTACGCTTCTTTTTTTCTTAAAGTCCAGGTTTCATTTTTGTAGGGACCGCAGACCAATTTTCAAAAAATTTTTTTCAGCATTGAGCTTTGTATGGTTTGATAGCTGTTTCGATTCAAAACTCAGAACCGTTTAGTTTTTCGAAAAAGATTGAGGATGAAAAAAGTTATGACGAAAAATGTGGCGCGCCGCGCACCATTTTTTTAGTACTGAAATTTTGGTATTATCCATTTTGACATTTTTCTCGATTTTTCTTCTAGAACAAGTTTTGATACTGGTCTATTATGATGTAACAAATCATAATAGAGTGCTAAAATGATGCTCATCAGCTAGTTTGCCGAAAAAAAGTCGGTATTTTTCCAGAAAACAAAAAAACTGACGCTTGCGGGCATCGAACTCGCGACCTCAAAATGAAAAAAATCGCAGCGCACGCGCTGCGCCAAGCTGCTAGGTCTAGCAAGGGGAGCTTCCATCCGCCTTACCCTTGAGCCGTTTAGATAGCACAGATTGCCTATTTCAAAAAAATAAAAAAACTTGAAGTAATTCAGCTATTTTTTTATCAGAATATGTTCGCAAATCTTTACTCAAACTTTCCGTGAAAAATTCACTTCGAAAAAAACTGTTTTTTTTAGTGCTTTTTTTCCTCGTTTAACGATCGCTGCCTTAAAACGGCCCCGTAAATTTTTTTGGCAAAGACGAATTTTTTTATTTTATTCTTTTTAATTGAAATATTTTTTTCACTAATAAATGTATATAATCGTTTAAAGGGCTTACAAGGCACTGTCACTGGCCCGCTTCTTTTCCTAATTTTTGTCAACGACCTCCCAGATATCTTTGATTCTTCCGTTACTTCATATTTGTTCGCCGATGACTTGAAAATCTCTTCAGATAACCCTGATGCTATCCAAGACAGTATAAATAGATTGCTCGATTGGTCCAAAAACTTGGGGCCTCCCAGTTGCGGCCAATAAAACTGTTGTTCTTCATCTAGGCAGAAACAATCCTGAACATGTTTACAATGTTAATGGCTCACCTATTCGATCTGAAACTGTTGTCAGAGACCTCGGTCTCCTTTATCGATAAAAAAATTTTTTTGTTTCAGCCCTCACATTAATCATGTAGTCAACATTGCCACTCTCAAATCTAAACAGCTGCTCAAAGCTTTTTGCTCACTTGAACATCCAGCAGTATAATTTACTATTCAACATGTATGCTAGACCCTATCTTGACTATTGCTCTGAAATCTTCTCACCGCCTATAAATTCAGAACTTTCCGTCCTCCTTGAAAAACCTTACCGTCATTATACTAGGCAAGTTTTCATGAGACGTAATAAATCCTTTGACACATACTCCCATCGCCTTGATGTACTCGGTTCTACTCATGTTTTCCGTAGGAGAACTTCTATTGCTCTAGTAACGCTTCAAAAAATCGTCCTGGGCATTTACCACTTTCCTAGCGCAGAAAAGTTTTTCAGTAGAAGTCGTTCACCTCGGTATCCTTTTCGTTTGATTCAGACTGGTTCCCGATTTAATAGTTTTTTTAGCACTGTCATTCCTCTTTGGAATAGACTCTGCTCAAGATTCAACCCTAACACGTCTACCACCCGTTTCAGAAAGTTTCTCGACTCGCTAAGCAACGAAGAACTCTTTTCCAACATTCCCTTACGTCTACTGTGATCAAAAATCCTTCTACGTGTTCTATTCCCTATACCGGTAAATCTCGCTCGTGAGGGCGTATTAAAAACCGGTGCTCATTTCACTCCCATACAATTCTTGCCCAACTTTGCCTCTTTCTTTATAGCTCATGTTATTTTTATGTATTGGAGTGAAATAAATATTCAATATTCAAGTTATGACGAAAAAATGTGGCGCGCCGCGCACCATTTTTTTAGTACTGAAATTTTGGTATTATCCATTTTGACATTTTTTTCTCGATTTTTTTCTTCTAGAACAAGTTTTTGATACTGGTCTATTATGATGTAACAAATCATAATAGAGTGCTAAAATGATGCTCATCAGCTAGTTTGCCGAAAAAAAGTCGGTATTTTCCAGAAAACAAAAAAACTGACGCTTGCGGGCATCGAACTCGCGACCTCAAAATGAAAAAAATCGCAGCGCACGCGCTGCGCCAAGCTGCTAGGTCTAGCAAGGGGAGCTTCCATCCGCCTTACCCTTGAGCCGTTTAGATAGCACAGATTGCCTATTTCAAAAAAATAAAAAAACTTGAAGTAATTCAGCTATTTTTTTATCAGAATATGTTCGCAAATCTTTACTCAAACTTTCCGTGAAAAATTCACTTCGAAAAAAACTGTTTTTTTAGTGCTTTTTTTCCTCGTTTAACGATCGCTGCCTTAAAACGGCCCCGTAAATTTTTTGGCAAAGACGAATTTTTTATTTTATTCTTTCAATTGAAAGATTTTTCACTAATAAATGTATATAATCGTTTAAAAAACCTGCGTTCGGCCGCTTTCTGTGTGATAAACGCCGCTAATTTTATTCTCTATTTTCAAGAGCATTTTTTTGCGTATCACACAACTTTTTTTCAAACACAGATGCTGTGGAGAAAAAAATTTAAGTAAGCCCATGGTCTAAATTTTTTTAAAAAAACAAAAAAACTTGATTATATTCGCTTATTAACGATATTTTTGAATTATGACTTTCGGCGCTCCCTAAAAATTTTTTTTGGCAAAGAGGAATTTTTTTATTTTATTGTTTTAAAAATTTTCGTTACTTGAATCAAAAATCATTATTTAAAAAAAGAAAGAGTGCGTTCGACCTGAAAAACACATGAAAAAAAGCAAAAAAATGACAAAATTTTTTTAGTTCCATTCACGTTTTTTTGTACGACATTCCGCGAGAACGCATCAAAAAAAGCGTGAAATATTTTTTTTAAACGAAAGAGGAAGCTTTTTCTGTACATGTGTGTCAAAGTTTATTATCCAGTTCCACATATTTTGCAACTACAACAAAATGAAAGTTGAAAACCAAAAAAAAGCCACTTTTTCTATCGCGAAAAGGGGCGTGGCTTTGCGGTCCCTACATTTTTGAAAGAGATCGCACTTCTGCCGTATGGATTTGTTTTATCATATCCCGATATTTTTTCATGTTAACGAAATTTTAAAGTAGTGGAAGTTTAATAGATTCTAAAAAAAAATGTATAGTCAATGTTTCCCGACTTGAAAGGCGAAGGAGGCGGGGCAGGGGAGGGACGCGTAGCGTGTGCGTACGCGGTTCTTGGCACGAATTCAATTTAACCGCCAGCGACTCTTTGGAAAGCCCGTTTTTCGCTCTTTTCATTCCTTTTTCAATTATTTATTGATTGTGTTCATGTTCGCATCAAAAAATAGTAGAAAATACAGAAAAAGTGCGGTTGACGAGCTTTTTAAAAAATCGGCGGTGAATGAATTGAAATCGTGCCAAGAACCGCGTACGCACACGCTACGCGTCCCGCCTCATGCCCCGCCTCCTTCGCCTTTCAAGTCGGGAAACATTGACTATATTTTTCCTAAATTTTCCTTCATTTTTCAAATCTTTATTTCCCGTCAAAAGCTGCAAAAAATTGTACCTTCATCAATGTTTTGTGAAGCTGCTTCGTCGATGGGCTCAACGATTCACTGGCGTTAGTCAAGATCTTTTGAGCTTTTCGTCGAATTATGAGTACTGTAGCGATAGCGGCCGTGGTCAAGACGCCCAAATAGGTACAGCATCCTTAATTTAATTTTTTGAATGTTAAAAAAAATTAATTTTACCTGCCACAGTTGGGGAGAAGGCTGTGATGGTGAACGCATGAGTATAACTGTCCCAAATTATATCGGACCTTTGATTTTTCAGATCATTGGTTACTGTAGGATCTGATTCCAAGGCGTAGAGATAGGTGTACTGTAATTTTATTTTGCTTTTTCTTTAAAAAAGCACAAAACTGACAAACATGACGAAAGATGGAAGAAAGCCAAGGAAGATAGAAAGCCAAAGAAGCCGTTGACTTGGCGGTGGATGTCTCAACACGAAAAGACGATAGGCGAAGGAGATTACTGTGAGTACGACGCAATGCGCCAAGACCATCAGCATGAACGAGTGCCCTGAAGGGATCGCTTTATTGAAGAAATAACTAGGAAATTTTAGAGTGGCTACTTGAGGGGTTTGAGTCTCGAGTGGTCACTTAAGCATTGAATCTACTTGAAGAGACTAATTTTTGAGGAGTTTGAGTGGTCAATTGAGTAGTTATTCCACTAAAAATCTAACCACGGAAATTTCAGTAGGGGTAATCTCTTAAGCGGCCACTTGGCAAGTTCAGAATAGGAACTTCTCAAGTAGCCACTGTAGGACTTAAACTCACCCCAAAAACAAATTTTCTCGCCAAAATAACGGCAGGGGCCAGGAAAAATGAATCCCAAGTGATTATCGATTGTCATGATCCTGAAATTTCCATTTCTTAAAATTTTTCTTAAATACCAAAAAAAAACCGAGTCATGACGAATCCGGATGCAGCCGAACAAAGCAAATCGGTGCTGGCGACGTTTAGAAGAAGAATCCTTCAAAAGAATACATTTTTTTCTGATTTTCAAGGAAAGAAACTAACCAATACGGTTTCAAAAGTCGTGTCGTTTTTGTAAAAATCAATAGTAGAAATAAAAAATTCAAAAAGATGCCTAAAATGGCCGGAATGACGTGTAGATGCCAAGTTATGACGTCGAAGACTTCCATTTTCAGCTTAAAAAAAATAAAGTGCAATTTTTTCTGGTTCAAAATGAATGGAAAAAGGATCTAAAAACCGACTTTACTCTCTTTTTGCCTCTTTAATTACGCTTATTCATAATGCGACAACTAAATCGGCCTTTTTCTCGGAATTTCCTTCATTTTTGAAATGCCGTAGACGGTAACAATGACGTTAATTAGAAATTCAGAATAAAAATCTGTCTTCAGCTTGATTTCTTGTCCGCTTGTGGGCTGAAATTTTAAATTCTCTTTTTTCCAGGCATCAAACTCGGGCTCAAAAGTCAGTTTTGACAAAAATTGAACTTTCTCATGCTCAACTACTTTTCCCACGAGATTTGATGATTTTACACAATTTTGTTTAAGGTGAAGTCTCGGTTTGTGTTCAACTTCTGGAAAAATTCTTATGGGAAGTATAATAATTCTTTTGAAAATGATGTAAAAAAATAATGAGAGAAAGTTTTTTTCCATAGAAATTTTTTTGAAGCTAGGACTACTAGAAAAAGAGAAAAAGCTAAAAAAATTAATCTTTAAGGAACCTGCTGCCCAAAAATGCAGTTAGAGGGCAGATTTTAAATTGAAAAAGGCCTTGTTTTCCAGTTTTCTGATGCTGCTCAAAATAAAGTTAACTTCACAAATACCTACTTTTTTCCCGAGGAAAACAATTCGGAGATTTCAATTTCCGTTCTTTTCTGTGTATCGCGTCATATTGTTCTTTTTTCAACGTTTACTTTTATAAGTTGAATCAAAAATAAAAATTTCCGTAAATTGAGAAAAAAATAAAAATAAAATGAGATTTCGAATAGAAAAAAAGGGACGATGACGCCATTGGCCTAACAACTTTCCAGAATTTTTGATTTTAAAGTTAAAAAAATTTTTGATTGATATAAAAAAACGAAGCAACACACTCACCCAACTCTTGAAAATTTAAAATTTGAGAATATTTATTTGGAAATGAGTTTTAATAAATGCAAATACAATTGAAACATAGACCCGAAAAAAATTCTAAAAAAATAAATAATAAATTTCAAGATTTCTCGTTGATTTTAATGATCGCCGGTGGGGAATGTTTTGGAAAAACTCGAAGCCGTTCCGGCGACATAAATCGGAGCCAATTGATTTTTGCACCTTGTGAACTTGCTGATCCATTCCAGAAGACCTTTTCTAAAAAAAAAACCAATGAGAACAAAAGTTGAAAATGAAAAAACCGATAAGGTCGGACGTAGTAGATGTACATGATTGGCGACAAGGCCGGCGGAAGCGTAGTTATGAGAAAAACCGAGTTTTCCATCGGGGAAGATTTTATACCGAAAAGGTAAATCGAGGTGAAGATCAAGTCGGCAATGTACATGAGGAATGGAAGTGAGGCTTGCATCGCCAGGGCCTGGAATTTGGAATTGAAAGGTCTTTTCCATTTATATTGTTTAGCAGTACCAATTCATCAATGCGTATTTCAATTTTGACAATGATAGGCTCATTTTTACAGCCAAGAACTTTGCTCGAAAATTCACAATGAAAACCGATTTTAAACCAGCAGAACTTTCGGATAGTTAGAATGTTGATAGCGTCAGCTAAATACCCGATTTTGAGGTAAAATTTAGATCCGACCCATTGAAATGGAGTCGAGATAAACTTCGACACCATTCCCGTTCGGGGGAGCGAAACAGTGGTATTTTGAGGCATGAACAATGAAAAGACAGCGATTTCAAGCTGAGCCTGACATTAGTAGAGGACTTCAAGTTAAAAATTGGAATGTTAGAAGCCAAAAATGGCCGCATTTGGAATGACTAACGCATGGGAAGTGTTTTTGGTGAATCAGCCGGCTTCGGAACGTCCTTCGCACGTTGGTATTGAAAGAATGACGGTCAAAACTGAGCCGCAACGCAACCGCAACGCGTTGAGCCATTCCAAGTGCGACCAATTTTTTTTTCCAACATGAGGCTATTTTGGAAAAAAGCCATTTTTGCTTTATAAGACTCGGCTTTTTTTTATAATTTTTTTATCATTGAATAGCATTAGCATTTTCTTTCAATCGAGGTAAAAATCGCTAAAAAGAACCGCAACGCCTTGAGCCATTCCAAGTGCGACCAATTTTTCTCAACCTGTGGATGTTTTAGTAAAAAGCGCACTTTTTCAACTAATTTTTATTTTTTCTGTTTAACTTTCTTCTCATTTTCTCCTCATCAAGGTCCAAAAAAACGATGGAGTTTCTGACCTTCATCAAAGTTTTGTGAACTCTCTTCGTAGAGGGGCTCAAAGACTGGCTGGCTGTTAATAATATTGCATGGGCTTTCCGTCGGATTATAATTACGGTGAAACATCCGACCGTAGCTATTAGAAACAGATAATTACAGCACCCTGTAATTATGAAAAAATTTGGAGCTTCAAAAATTCACACCTGCAACAGTGAATGTAAAAACGGAGATTGTGAATCCGTGGGCTAAATTTTCCCAATCGATATTGTTCCTCTGCTTTTTTAGGCCTTCAATTATTGAAGGGTCTTTTTCCAGAGCGTAGAGATAGGTGTACTGAAAACGCATATGATAATTTTATAGTTTTTGATACTACGATATTTTCATCAAAAAAGTCTATTTATTAACATGGTTTTGGCGGGGAAATGATGTGAAATTGAGAAAACTTTGATTTTTAAGTGTCTCCATAACCTTCTTTTACTTGGATGTAAATAACCTTTTCAAGAATTTTTTTTTCAATTTCTAATATTATATTCCCATCCAATTATTCAAAACTTACAAACATGACAAACGATGGAATATATATGGCAATGATAGAAAGCCACAAAAATATCGGTTTCGGCGGAGGACGTCTTAAAACGAAAAGACGATAGGCGAAAGAGATTACTGTAAGTAGGACGCAATGCACCAGACAGTGTAGGATGAACGAGTGGCCTATAAATTGTATTTCATAGTCATTTTTTTCGGAATTGGAAGGCCATAGATGCATTTTCCTATATTTCAAAGTAGCTCAAGGTCGGGCGCAGCAGAAAGCTAAGCTTGTGAGATCGAAAGATCATCGGTTATCTTATAAAAATGGCTCCAACGCAAATTTCTCCTTGTAAAAATACATCAATCATCATGTCTTTGACTTCTTTCTTTTTTTCGATGAGAGAAAAAAGAGCGCAGACAGGCTAGACAGTTCAAATGACTCACCTTGAAAGCAAAGCTCGCTACCAAAACGGCCACAAAAACCATGAAACACGAAAGCTATATTGTTACCGATCGTCATTATTCTAAAACTCCGTAATTTTTGATAAATTTAGTGATAAAATGATAAAAATCTTCCTGCAAGCCAAAAAAATAGACCTCGTCATTACGAAGCCAGACGCGGCCGATAAAATCAAATCCGTCGTGGCGACATTAACAAGAAGAATCCTTAAAATTTCAAAAAGTTGAAAAACCTTGATAAAACCGACCAATATGGCTTTAAAAAGCCTTGTGGTTTTTGTGATAATAAGAATGATAAAAAAATACAGTTCAAAGAAATCCCCATAATAGCTGTGACGACATGAAAATACCAAGTTATTCCGTTAAAAAAATGTCTTTTTCATCTGAAAGTACTTTTTTTCCAATCTCGTGAGATTGTCCATGATAAGCTTTAAAAAAAAAGAAAATTGTGAAAAAAACAAGATACTTTCAACTTTTAACTTTCCAGGTGAAGTTTAGTGTTCTTCAGCTGCAGAAAAAGGAAAGATCTGGAAAAGTAACTTTATTGAAATTTTAGGAGTAAAAGTCCACTCGACAGGTGTTTTTCGGAAAGGAGCTGCTTTACGAAAATATACATGCTTTTTTGATTTTTTTTTAAATTATAAACAGCGTCGTTTAATGTTCAAAAAAACAAATCGTTAAAAAAACAAGAGCCAAAAAGAATAAAGCTTAGAAATTTTCGAGTAAATGCGCTCCATGGATAAAAATGAGGATTATAATATTTTTTTAAAGTTTTGATGGTTATTTCCTATAACCAAATAGTTTTTTTCAATTCTCTTCGCACACTTGGAAGAAAAAAATCCCGGAAAAAAATCAGAAAATTTTTTTATAAAAATTATTTCGGTCGAGTTTATCCAACAAGATTTACGTTTTTTTGACTTTTTGAGATGTTGAATTTAAATTTTTATTTCGAACTGCAACAAAAAAATTTATAATATTAATTTGACAGAGTAAAAAGCGATTGAACTAATTACTATTTCGTTTTTTTTAATATATAAAAACGTGATGCCTACAAAAAATAATATTGACGAATTGAACGGAAATCGTAAGAAAATTGAGAGAAAGAGCTAAATAAAGGAAAAGCCCCGTTAATGACATTTACTAAAGCTTGATATAAACTCGTTTCCCTCGCCGATTGGTGCAAATCATATGAACCAGACACGAGAATTGATATTAAATAAGAGATCAAAAAACCAGGCGGAACTTTATTCCAGGCCAAACTAGAACAAAAATTTTTTAAGACTAAGAGCTCCTTTTTTTTGAAGTGTCTAACCACACCCTTGCACATTCGATACCAGTGCCAATTATCGAAAACCGCCTATTTTTTCCACGAGAAATACCCAAAAAAAAAATTCCAGATCAAAGTTACAATAAGAAACTGAAAATAAAGAGGCTTTCTACTGAAAGGTAGAAGAAATGGTAACCTACCGATACTTCCTAAAATAAAAAAATGATGAAAATTGAATGAAAAAAGGTGATTTTTAATCGAAATTCAATATCAAGGCTTATTTCGTTCAATTTCTAACCTTACTTAAGATAATTTATAGCTGCAACCGACCTGAAACGGTTTGCGAGACTTTTTGAAGCAACTATTCCTTTCAATTACCGTCTGAAAATAATCTTTGAAAACTCAAATTCTGATGGACAATATCGGTTTCCTAATTTTTTGAAAGATCCGTTTTCTGCTAAAATTTGAAAAAAAAATCCACTTTTTCGGTCCTTTTTATCTCCAAATAAGTTTTCCCCATCAGAGTCGTAGTGTCCCGTTGCAGGTCGGTTGCAGCTATGAGGTATATTTGAAAAATTATTAGTTTGAAAGAATTTAACAGGATATATGCCTCTTTCCGTGCAAAGTGCGACGTTTTAATGTTTTTTTGTTGACTTCATGCTTTTTTTCAGTTCTTCCAATTGATTAAATACATTCATTAAGTATCAATAATATAATATGATAATAGGAAGAGAAAAACAATTGTAGATGGTAATTTAAAAAAATTTTATGTTATGGGATTTTATATTCTAGTTCCAGGATTTATGAGGAGTTGTGCTGAGACCTTTTGCACAAGATTTTTGCGTGTAAGACTCCAAAGGAGATGCATTCCGATACCTGGCAAGTCGCCGAGGATGCGGTTTTGTACAAGTAGTTACATCTAAAAAGTAGATGGGAGTTGGGGTTAATGCATATGGGACAGAGTTTTTTAGCTTTGATAATGGCATATCTGTCCGTCGGATCCATAGTGATGGTACAGTTAGTAGAAAGGTGTTCGAGGTCGCAGAAGGCGCATTTGACGGCTTCCGGGGGTTGTTGTCTTCGAAACGCTTTCTTTTTCGTTGTCGCTGAACTTCTTCCAGAATTTCGAAAGATTTCGCAATTTCGGAAACTTTCATTGGAACTCTAAATTTGAAAATGAAGTAATCGTAGTTGTAGCCGGTTTATTGCATTTATAGCATCCTACGTAGTCAGTATAATCCGTGATAATACATGGAAGAGAGTTGAAAATACTTGAGGTGTAATATTTGATTAAATTTTATTTGAAAATGAAATGACGTGAAGTAAGTCTTTAATATTGGAACTGATGGAGAATCTGATTTTACGATTTGATATCCTTCTCCTAAAAAAGGTAGAGAGTTTTCCGATCAAAGTGATTTAAAAAGATTCGTATTTTTGCATTCAGAATTGGCTGCTTCTTCGCCAGCTGTACAAATCCATTTTTCGTGATAAGTGCCATTTCTATTTTCTTCACAATGGAGTGGGTAATTATACAATGATAAGCTATCGTCGATTGCTATTTCGTTACCTAGTTGGATGAAGTTCATGTTTGTTATCATAGGATCTAAAGATGGCAGAGTCAAATTTGAGGCAACATTGTTGTTTTTCCATGAAGAAGTGATTCCTTCGGATATTTTCATGGGCACTGTTTTCGAATCAGAGTCCGTTTGGATAGTAACACTAAGTACTGCTTCCCCTGGCCAGTTAGCGCATGTGTATTTAGCGAATAAGTGTTCATCAGTTGGTTGAGCGTAAATTCGATAAAATAGGCAAGCCGAGGTCAGCGACATGCAGCTACAAAACCATCCTCCGCAACTTGCTGAGCAATAAGTTTGACCTGGATAGTTGTTCGCTTTTTAAGTTCCGCTACCACTGTGTTGTCATTGACAATGAGAAATTTGTTTCCAGTGCATAATATGGATAAATCACAACCTTGAAATTTCAAAAAAATTTGGTAAAAAGGTAAAAATCAAAACCCTCGGGCAAAAATTGCGCTTTTTCTTTACAAAAAAAAGAGCCAGCTTGAAATCAACGGAAATTGTTGCTTTCAGCTTACCGAGACGAAAAAAAGAAACGAAAAAAATTGTTCTGGCGGCATCCTTTTTGAAGAACAAAAAAATAAAAATAAACGTTTTTTTGAAAAAGAGGGCAGAAGGAACCGGCTTTGAGTTCAAAGCGGACCCAATCCATCAAATTCAACCCTCTTCGTCATAGAATCAAGAGATTTACATTTGATGTGTAGAGGTGGACAAAAAAGGACCAGATCAACGACGCCTCCCGGTGCGGCGCGGTCGGCTTGGCGTCCTTTTTTTTTGACATCTGATCTATCTCGACTTATTAAAGGCGCACCATGAAAAACAACTTTCCGGCTAAAGTTTGGTACTTTTTCGAAAAAAGAAGAGAAAACAAAACTTTTTTCGTGCGAAATTATGTTGAGATGCGGTACTTTTTTTGTTCAATTTATCTTTGATTGGAACAAAAATTGGAATGACTCGAAGGGTCGCGGTCGCGTTGCCCCTTGCAAGAATCCAAGCATGAATTTTTAAACTTATTTTTTTGGGTTATTACAAAAAAAGTTGATAAATCAAACAAAAAAACAGTAAATTTAAAATTTTTCGTACGAAAGGGTATCTGTTGAGGGACTTGAATATAAGACTACTTTGTGAGAAATGAGGGGAAAAAGTGACTATTACATATTTTCAATAAAATAACAAAGAGATTTTCAAGAGAATATTGGTCCGAAGCGGACGGAGAAGCCCTGATGCGTGTGAGAAGTTTGTTCGGGGGTCAGACGCCATTTGTTCGACATTCCCAGAATTTACTCTGACAAACAATTCAAGATCTTATTTGAACCTGAAACGAACATGGATTTTATTTACGTTCAAAATAACCGATGAGTTTGGTAATCCAGTCATTCCCCTGCTGGCGTAAAACCCGAGGACGTGACTACTTATGCCCCGATAAATAATACTGCCCATTCAATTATTCGGACTATTACTTTGCACATAAACTCCCAGCAAGTCTAAAAGCTACTTGGAATCAACCCTTATGCTGGATTCGAACGTTAAAAACTCTACTCTTTCGATTGCTGGCTATACTCATGAGCCAAAACTTGATGATATGAGCAGCGCTGGATAAAAGACTCGCTATGAGATGGTCAAAGGGGGCAAGTCTTGTCAAGTAGCATGCAATCTCTCGATCTACCTCATGAATCAATGTCAATCAGTTTCTGCAACGTCAAACTGACAGTGTATCCGAACAAGAGCGAGTTTCTGATCGAATCTTTCAACAAAACAGCGTTAAGTACCGCTTCAATATCACGGATGTTTATGCGCTGGTCAACGAGTTTGATGTGGCCGAAGGTCTTGCGAACGAGCTCGGGCGCTGGTCCAGACTAAACTCTTTTTTTGATCGAATCGGGCCGTTTGGACGCGCTCGCCAACACACTTTTCACCAGTAAAATGCCCCGCCGCATGTTTGTCGGTCTGGTCAGCGCTGAGGCCTACAATGGCTCTTACTTTCTGTCACCGTTCAACTTGACATGCTGGAAAAGTCGGTTGGTCCGGTCGGTCGGTTTGGAAAACTAGGCAACGACGCAATTTCGCTCCATGGAACACTTAGAATTTCCAACTTCTTTTTTTTTTTGATCCAGTAAAACGTAAAACATTACCGAGAAAAACGATAATAAATAAGAAACAGTTCAGTTCGAAGTGAGGAGCATGTGTCCCATATCCTAGAAAACTGATGAAAAGAAAGTTAAAATATAGAAAAAGGGAAAAAAGTATCTGAAATTCGATTTTCCATGGAGCAAAACTGCGGCGCGGCCTAGTTTTCCAAACCGACCGACCGACTTTTCCAGCATGCCGTTCAACTTTCAACCGCACGGCTTCCGAGACATTCATGTCGATTATTGCGGCTTGACCATCCCCAATGAATCTAGACTTTGACAAGGACCGCTTTGCCGTGGCTTATATCAACTTTATCGAAACACTCGGTCATGCTCGGGACCGTTCATGCAACTCGATCAACAAATATATGTTCAAGGAGGACGGCTACACATTTTTTGCCTTTGAATTCTCACCAATAGCCACCGACATTACACTTTTCGAGCTTGTCCGTCATTCGAATGAATTTCAAAGAGACCACTCCACATCGAGGTCTTTATTGTATTATTGGAATTTGACCATTTTTTTTTCCATTCAGCATTTGCGCAGCCCAATTATGGAGTCTTTTGTTTGAATAAAAATTTATTTTTGAGAAAAAAACAGCATATCAGTGATAGAAAAGATAATCGTCTATGAGGTCCGTCGGGTCTTCGATCCAACCATAAGGACGCGTGGAGCCATCTGGGAAGAACAGCATTTTATCCATCACCGGCTGCAGCTTCTTCAGACGTTGCACTGGTCTTTTGACCATCGTCTCGTCCGTTGTTTCGATGACATCGAAACCCTCTCCGGCCGCAAAGGAGCGCGCCTGAAAAAAAAATGTTCAAAAAATGAGTTTTTTATTGGAAAAAGTGCTCAAAAAATAGAAAAAGAACCTGTTGTTCGAGCGCATCCACGGTTATGACGCTGTTGTTATCAACGTCATGCCTCACTCCCTTGGCCTTCCAGACCACCTTCTGATTACCGGCTGGGTCTTCGAGGACGTACGTGTACACTTTGCTCGCAGTTGAGACAAATTTTATGATTTTGTAGCCTGCCGGTACCTCGGACTGGAACATGCCTAGACCCTGGAATAAAAAAATTTTACAAAATAACAAAAAATTTGATAGAATACCGAGCCCATCATGTCCTCGATGTTATCCATCCCTGCCTGTTTCAGAAACATGAGCGAGTCCGTATCTGAAAATGTAAACTATAGAAAAATTGTTTATTTTTTTCGTACCGCAGTGAGCGGTACGATTTCGACAAGATGGGTTCTAAATGAAAAAAATTGAGAAATTTTAAATTAGTAAAACCTTCAGTAGGCGGCGCTGCATCGTCGACCGAGTCTTCCGTGTTTGTGAATGTGTCGGACGGTTCTACCGAAAAATTTTCAAAAAACTTGAATAATTTCAAACCCTGCGACCACCAATTTTCTTGAACAACTCCTTCGGAATCTACCGATTCCATCAGGGGATCAACGACTGGACGTCAAACATTTATAAAAAGTATGTTGTGGTGAAAAAAAGGGGAAGGAACTACAAAAAACAAAAAGTGAATGAAAGACAAAGTCGTCGAGGGGGTGGACCCTTGTCGACGCAACCATGCTCTTTTCGATCAAACATAGTCACTCAATCATGTCTTGTCAGTCGAACAAGATCCGATAAGATCTATCAGATGACCTTTCATAAAACTTTTTTACTGTCCGGTCCTTTGGGATCTCACCGATCAGACCAAAGTAGCAAAAATTGAGAATATAGCTGCTCTAATCGACCCACTTTCATAAAAAGAGATAAATAAATAAATAAATAAATAAAAAGAGATCAGTAACTTTTCACCTACCGTGCCGAATGCCTTTAGCTTTCCATAGATAAATTTTTGAAATTTGAAAAAAAAAAAGTTTAGCCGAAAAAAAGCTTCGGAAAAATTTAATGAACTTGAAAAAAACTCACGTTTTTTTCTGGAAAAGAGTAAAGATAATTTTTCCAACAACGCAGAATGATATATTTTGAAGAACTTTAGTGAAAAGGCTCTTGCGAGTAGTGATTCAGATTATTTATTCAACTTATTTCGAAATTTTTTCCGGAAATTGATGGAAATATTATTCCAATAAAAATATCGAAAAAAATTTGGTAAAAAGGTAAAATTCAAAAACCCTCGGGCAAAAATTGCACTCTTTTCTTTAAAAAGAAAAAGAGCCAGCTTGAAATCAACGGAAAAATGTTGCTTTCAGCTTACCAAGGCGGAAAATAAACGAAAAAAATTGTTCTGGTGGCATGAAAAAAATGCCTAGAGAACCCTTTTGAAAAAGATAAGACATTGACGGAAAAACATAAAATATATGAAAGCAGTACGAAGACTTAGGAATTTGAGAGGCCTTGGTAAAAGTTAAGAATCACGATCCTCGGGCAAAATTTGCACCCTTTTCTTTTCAAAAAAAGAAAGAGCCAGCTTGAAATCAACGGAAAATGTTGTTCTCAGCTTACCGAGGCAAAAAAGAAAAAACAATTGTTCTGGCGGCATAAAAGATCCATTTTGACGAACAAAAATAAAATAAACGTCCGGGTTGAAGAAAAGGTAATTTTGAAAAAGGAGGGTAGAAGGAACCGGCTTTGAGTTCAAAGCGGACCCGATCCAATAAAATCAACTCTTTTCCTCAAAAAAAAAAATAGAATGAATGCGAAAAAAAGATGAAAACATGATGTGTCGATGATGAGGTGGACAAAAGAAAGGATAACATTTAAGGCGTACCCGTTAAGGATAACATCAACTTTAAGGTCGGCTTGGCGTCCTTTTCTTGATATCTGATCTATACACTTATTAAAGGTGCACCAGGAGAAACTTTCTGGGAAAAAAAATTGCTGAGAATAATACTGTTTCGAAAAATGAGTGAGAACATTTTTTTCGGTGCAAAACTACGTTGAGATGTGGCAAATTTTTGAGTTCATTTGTCTCGATTGGAAAAAAAAACTGGAATGGGTCGAAGCAACTGAACAGCTGGCTATAATATTCTATAATAATTAGGGGTGCAGCGCAAGTCGTCTTGAGTCGGGTGCATTTCAAAGATTACTAATCCGCCTATGCTTCCAAGTTTTAGAAGTTGAAATTGTTTAGAAATGTCTTTCCAAATTCTTTTTTTTTCAATTCTTGTCCGTATCTGAAGTCGAAATTGGCTTCGACCCATGACAATAGGTTCAAACAAAATTGTATAGTCACTTTTTCAAAGGCTGCAAGTATTCATATAATAGGAAAGTTGATATCAAAAATTATTTGGGATACCATTGGAAAAGAGACTTGTTGAAAGGCTAAAGAAGGACCAGACACTTTGAAAAAATATTTCAAACGGATCCGTGGAGGAACTTGTATATGTGACTAGGAAAAACAAGAAATCTTGATCTTTTTTTATTAAAATAACAAAGATATTTTTAATTATAAAGTCGGTCCGAGACTGACGGAGAAGGCCTGATGCGTGTGAGAAGTTTGTTCGGCGGTCGGACGCCATCTGTTCGACATTCCCAGACATCTTCTGAACCCGTCTTCGACAGCGTTTCTGAAAGTTTTCTTAAAAAACTTCAAAAGAACGGCTGATTTAGAAAAATTTGAAAAATCTCATGGATAAAAAATTTTTAAACTTTTTTCCGACAACGTTTCTGATATTTCCATATAGCCTATTCCGCGCCAGCTTGTCACGTTTTTCTTTCCGCCAAAAAGACCGTATACCAAAATAGATCAAATATCTGCTTTTATAACGGCAAGAAACAAAGGTCTTGAAGCGAAAGTTGGTTAAATTTGACCTGGTCTTTTTGGCGGAAAGAAAAACGTGACAAGCTAGCGCGGAATGGCCTATAGAAGCATTGGAAGCCCAGCAAAGAAGTTAAAAAAATTTGAAATATTCCAAAAAATTTTTTTCATCTTCAAACGAACGAAAAAGAAATGCTCAAAAAAATAACACTCTGCGTCACTGGCGCCTCTTTGCCTCCTTTCTCTCGTCCTAGCGTCAAACCGCCCCGAGTCGGGACACCCTGAGACTCAAGCACCCCTCCCAACCTTCGTTCAGTATCGCTTCTCGGCTTTTTGGCTAAGATCAGTTTGTAGTTACCGTTCTTATCGTATTAACCTACGATATGAGCTCATCGAGCTCTGTATAGGTTATTCCATTTTTGGAGCCGAAGACGGGTCCGGAGCTTGCTCCGACCGTCTGAGGGTCGTTCCGGCGTTTCACTGCTGTCGGACTCGGCCCAGACCTCGAGCGGGTCAAAAAGAAATTTCAAGTCGAGAATTACCAAGTTCCTATACGTTTCATCCAAGCTATTTTAGTTCAGATTTTCTTTTTCGTACGTTATCTTCATTCAATTGGACGTTATTATATTTAACACGACTCGTGAGGTCAAAATCAGAATCGAAATGAGACAAAAAAAAATTCTGACGTTCATTTTCAAAAATCTCCACATACCAGTCAACATACGTTTCAGCCAAGTTAGTTATATGCTGATTTTCGTTTTTATATCGATTTCAACAGTATTGCTTGACCTTTTCAAAAATTGGTATCTCGACCTTCTACTTTAAATTAAAAATAGGAAGGTAAGTTTTTTTATTTGTTAAGATTTCTCTGAAAAAGTCTTAAAAATTCACTGTTCATTCGGAGAGAAATTTTTCAAAGGCAAGGGAAAAGGCTGGTTTTCAATTTTGCCTTCATGAAAAGCAAAAAAAACCTGTAAGGACGAACGTAGTGGATGTAGATGATGGGTGACAAGGCCGGCGGAAAAGAAGTCAGCCAAAAAATGGCGTTTTCCAAGATTGAATAATGGATGGGGAACAAGTACGTCAGAGCGAACAAGACGTCTGCCAAGTGCATCAGGAACGGCAGAGAGGCTTGGATGGAAAGGGCCTGGAAAACTTGAAAATGAAAATTATGTTGAGAGTTTATTCTTCCAGATTATTTTTGAAAAAAAGGTATTACAAGTACAAAGCATAAGCTTCTCTTTTCACTCGAAATATGGAAATCGAAGATCTGAAAAAAAAAAGTTGGCCTCGTTTTTTAACGTTCTAGGAACGCCTGAGTGGTCACTATAGGGTTAAGGGGAAAAAACAGCTCCTACAAGAGACAAATAGTGCCCCCTATAGGTGGTAAATTCAAGTTTTCCCGATGGGGGTTCAAGGTCTTAACCCTTAAAGATTTAGTGGTTCCTATAGGGGTCTTTTTTTCAGTTTTTGAGAACCGCAACAAATGACTAGCCCCTGTGAGGGCCGCTAACTAAAAACCCCTATAGCAGCCCCTTTTACAAGCTGTAATGCGCTCCCCCAGGCTCTCCATTGAATTTTGAGACCCCCGCGCGCAAGTCCATCTGGTCCGGCGCCATTCCGAACTCTCATGAAAAGTAATTTTAACTCTGAAATTTTCCAAAAAACTACCTTGATAAGGTTGGCGTGAGTCCTTCGCGTTGCTGAGCTCAACGAACTCGCCGAGTTTTTCAAAATCAGTTGGACTTTTCTTCGAATCACGATTATAGAAATACAGTTGAAGGTGGAAAAGACGGTCAGGTAGACGGAACAGTCTTGAGATTATTAATTAATGAAATCTTTTTTTCAAAAATTACAAGCCACTGAAGGGGAAAAGACGCTCTTGGTGATGACGAAAGTTGAGATGTTCCAGGGAATATCTGGACGATTTTCCATGGATTCTTTGATGATTGACTGGTCAGTTTCCATTCCGTAGCAGAAGATGATCTGCATTTTTTTAAAATACGAACATTTATAACCATTTGAAAAAGAAAAATATGAATTTTTTTCAACTTTTCAAGCGTTTCACTGCGTTCCAATCGAGCTACTTGGAATTGTAAAAAAATGTTCCTAGTTATTCAATCAATCAATTTATTCATTTTTCGCAACATCGGGATGGTATGGTGATGTTGCAGGAAGGTAAAAAAAGACCACTAGGTGAATTAACTAACCACACCTGTGAAGAAAAAAAAATTTTATTAAAAAAAATTCAGCTTGAAAATGAGAAGAATTTTGGATTTATTGAGCAAAGTTGCCGATAAAATGTTCCTTTTTTCGCTTTTTTATTCATTTTTTTCCCAACCAAATTTTCCTTCTCACTAACATCACTACTAAGAAAGCCCAAATAGAAATAGATTTTTAGAGTAATAAGCAAGAATTTTGGGTTAAAAGTATGGTTTACGGTATTTTACTTTGTGTACACCATATCTTCGGTCCTTTAAGAACGTTAAAGCTTCATTTTTCTCAGAAAATACGAATTTTTGGGCTTTTTTAAGCTCATTTTTGACAAAGGCTCTATAGAAAAAAAATAATGATTTCCAATTTTTATTAACCCACAAAAACGATGAAAGACGGAAGGTAGACGAGGAAAACGGCGATTCGAGTTGAGCTTCTGCTCGGGGCGCTTTTTGAGATCACGTAGAAACGGTAGGCGAATGAGAGTACGGTGAGGATGACGCAGTGTGACAGTGCGTGCAGAAAGAACGAGTACCCTGGGATACCGTAATTTTTTTTTTCTTATTTCTCTTTTTTCTAGTAGAGACAGTTTGCTCACAAACCGTAGTTTTACACTAAAAATACCAAAAAAGGTCGGTGAAACACTTGAAAATGCAGAAAATGAAAAATTTATCTTTGAAAATGAGATCATTTTTTGACGGTAGATCTATAATTTATATTCTCTTATTCTACAGATTATTTTTATAAGGGTTTTTCGCAGTTCCTTGATCCAAAGGTAGAGAGGAGCAGTTGGTCAAGGATCAGATTAGTAAGCGTGGGGTCATGGGTTCGGATCCCGTCAATGGCAAAATTTTTTTAAAAAAATGCAAGATTTGTTAGGAATAACACTGTATAGTAACTTTTTTTATGAAGAAAAATGAATTTTTTTCTTTAATTTCTCGAAAAAAATAAATAATTTTCTAAATCGTTTTTGATTCAAAAAAACTTTATAAATTTTTTTGAAAGTACTGAGAAAAAATTTTTAAATGGGTACTATAGAGGCTCGCCAAGGACTACTTGGAGAGGACACTAAAGTGGCCTCTTTTTCCGTTTTAGTGGCCACTGTAGAGGTTCTCTATTTAGTGGCCACTTCAGTAGTTTTTCATCCAGTATTCCTTCCAGTAACTCTGATAATATTAAAACAAACAGATTGGACCAGTTATGTTGATCCATTGACCCCTAAAGTGGCCACTCAAATTTTTAGTGGTCTAGTAATAGCATTTAGACCTCTACAGTGGCCCTAATTTTTAACCCCTTAAGTGGTCACTAAAAATCTCCCCAGTAAATAAAAAATGCATTTTCGAGCGTTCATGAGCAAAAACGTCAAAATTTTTTTCACCAGACGCGAAAAATAAAAAATGAACGTGATCAAGTAAGATATGAGTTATTCCTAATGCGTATATTCTTCGGATTGTTCGTCTTTTCGGTTTTCCTTGTACCTTACGTGGTAAGTTTGAAATTGGGACAGAAAAGATTTTGATTTTTTGCTCCCATAAGAAGATTCCTTACGAAAACACCTATATCCATTAAATTTTCAAGTACTGTGCATGAAATTCTAGCGTTTTAGTGATATTTTTTTGGAAAAAAAGTAAAAAGCTCTTTTTTTAAAGAATCTAATCTCAGGAGACATTCGGCCCATTGGTCACAGCTCTCGATTCATTTTTAGACTTTATGCGGAATTCTCTGGGCGCTCCACCAAAGGTCAGTTTCAGACGAAGAAAAAATAAAAAGGAATTTTTGACTTAGAGTTCGGAAAAACCTCGAATCGTGGAGATGAGACAGTATCCACATGGTCCACAACTAAAAAAAGACCAAAATGTTCGTCCGCCAGAAAATTATCCAGTTAAAGGAGTAAAGGTGAGTCTTATAACTGCTGAATCACCGTTGGCCTAGAAAAAAGGGTCCTGACACGATAAAAAATGAAATAGCGCCCGGTTGGTGGAGAGCGCAGACAGGCCACGCCCTTTAGAGTCCCAAGCTTGGTTTTAATCGGCTATATTTTAAAAAATCAAGTATCTGCGCTCCATGGATAATCAGTTTCTGTATGATCCCGTTGCTTTGATTTTAAATCCTTTTGTCGCATTTGGAATGGCTGAAGGCGGCGCGGTTGGATTTATCAAGCTTTTGAGAGCGCGTGCGCAAGCCGCTTTACAGTCGGGCGCAAAATATAAAGACCACTTGGCGATAGTTACAAAAAAATGGAGGGGCATTCAAATTTGTAAAATTCTGACTTTTTCAGGACATCCTGCAACTTTCAATCTTCTCAGCGATTGTCATTATAAATCTGTTTGCTTTTTTTGAGTGAGATGAAATAAATTTTTTTTTTTTTGTCTATTTTCAAAGATTTTATTGGAACAACTCAAATTTCATTTAAAAAAATAAATTCTGAGCTTTGAGCCTCTGAAGAAAGTTCAAAAATTTCGTTTTTAAGAAAAATATTTCTTCAATTTGTTTTTTTCAGAAGTTGAATATTTTCTGGATAGCTCTTAATAAATAGATAAAAAAACAAACTCTGAAACTTTATAAGATAAAAACTGACCATAAAAAAACAGACTTCAGCTTCGAAAAAAATTGACAAAAAACCGCGAAAAAAACGATTCCCAAATGGTTGCCGATCGTTAGAATTCTGAAAAAATGGTTTTTCAATTTCGCTTCATAATTTCTTCTTGTATTCTCAAAAAAACAGTCGAAAAACCTCGGGATCACAAATCCACAAGAAGCCGAGCAAATCAACTCGGTCACGGCAACGTTCAAAAGAACGGTTCTTAAAAAAAATCAATGAAAACCAGGAAAATATTTTTCCTAGTCTCACGAGTATGGTCTCAAATGTCGGGTTGATTTTCTCAAAATTAGAATCAAAAAAATAATGTTGAGAAAAATTCCGACAATCGTCGTAGTGCAGTTGGAGTAGAAGGCGATCCAATCGAAAAATGTCCATTTTCTGGAATTTTTGATTTCTTTTCCTTTTTCATGACTCTGACTTGTCTGCGCTCCCTTTTCACTAATCAAGCAATTGTAGAAAAATTAAAATATAACTTGAACAGGAGAGAGCGCAGACGAGTCAGATTTTGACGTATTCGGTATTTTTCTGACTATAGTTGCAACCTTGAGGATGGTTTAAATTCAACGCCCTTGCATCGGACCGAAAAACGACTTGCGCAAAGTCAGAAAAGAAAAAAAAAGTCGCTAGAAAAGTTTGACGGCAGAAAAAGGGCAATTTTGGCTGCGAAATACACTTCAAGCCATTCCAAATGCGGTCATGAAGCGTTATTCAAAATATTGAAGCTAGAAGGAGAATGATTAGGATTCAACACAAAAAAACTTTGAGAAAAATTCCGAAAAAAATGGTTTATTTTTCTAATTTTTTTGGAATCATGTAGAGGAAATTAATGTTTGGCTTCTAATTTTTTTAAACTTTTTTAAAATCTAAGGTTCATAATTTATAGGCTCAGAGTCAAGTCTTAAAACTTGATTCGGCGAAAAGAACGAAGAGAATTTATTAATAGCAAAATGTTTTTGAACGAGAAAACCCTTTTTTATAAGCTTAATTTGGTGAGAACTCCCAAGTTCTGTCTGATTAGCCTAATTTGGGCCGATTTCATTACAGAAAGATTAAAAACCGAAATGAAGATATTCTCCAGAAAAATTCTCCTTTGAATAAAATATAAGCACAACGGATGACGGATTGAGTTTAAAAACAAGCCATTTTTTATCAAAGGCGAAATTAAGGGGAAAATTCAGAAGAAAAGGCTGTTTTCGATGAAGGAGCCATTCAAAAAGAACGAGAATAGGATAATTTAGTTAATTATCATTCATTGATGTAACATGGAAAGAAGAAAAATTTGAATATTAGTACTCTTTCCAGTGAAAAATGTCGAATTAGAAAAATAAGAAAACAAAAAGTAAGTCAAAAAATAAAAGGGAAAAGCGCCAAAAATTCCTGGAAAATTTTCATTTTTGGATATTTTTCCAAAAAGTATAATTGCATATTTACACGCGATCAACAAAATTTTATTGCCTTTTCTAGGGGCAATTCAATAATTTTGAAAGTTCACATAACCCGCCAACAAGAGAATCATAAAATGGAAAGAAAAAATAAAATATCTAAAAACTAACCTCGACTTTAAATTCGATATTTCCATCATCTTAGCACGCAAGTCGATGTTCAGAAAAACTGAAACAATTCTCTATTCATTCGAAAATATCAAGCGAAACACAAAAAACAAAAAAAAAGTTCAAAAAAGAAAAAATGCAATGAAAGTTTTCCACCGTATCCTGAAAGTGTGCATACACATTGACGCATTCGCTGTCATTCCTAAATTTACAAAATTTTTTTACTTTTTCTTTCTTCTTTTTTTCTTTTTGTTTGAGATTATTTTTAATTTAAAATGTATTTCAGTGGAAGACCATTTCAGAACTTTGGCATGCTCTACGTGTATCGAAAAAGATTATTTAGATATTTTTCTTCCAAGTCAAGTTATTTAACCAATATCACTTCTACTTTCGAATTTCATATTTTGCAGTTATGTCAACGATTATTGAGCACAAAATGCTCTGGAACAAGCCGGATTACTTGTGGAAACTTCGGTGGAACTGGTGCGTTATAAAATTTCTTTTTTTTTCTTTAAACTTTTGCATGAAAGGAACTTTTTGGCGGTTAATTTCGTTTGACATCCTTCTACAAACGAATCCGAAACCGGCCGGAGGGACATCATAAGAGGAGGGGCCAAAAACTGAATAAAAAATGGCTGTCGCACCTTCTCCAGTTTTGATGGAATTATTTGGAAAAAAGTAGTGAACTTATTGGCATTAATCAAGAGAGCTCGAGGCTTTTTGGTGGCAAGGCGCCGATTTTTGTGGGGGGATCGCCTATAAATTGGTCGACGTTTGGGGAAACCCGTTCGTCGGCCATATCTACTCTTCCTTTTCTTCTTCTTCTTTTTCTTCTTCTTCTTGGATTCTCGCTCGGCTTTTTCTCTCAAATCGATTCTTTATTATTATTTTTTTTATCAGAAATTGACTAGAAATCTTCTTTTTATAGTAGTTTTCAATCTGTTTTGAAGTTTAACAATCAAGATTCCTTTTTTGTCAAGTTTTTGAACCTTAATGATTCTATTTAATTCAGAATAATTCTTTGATAGGGGTTCAGATTTTTCCAAGACTTTATAGCCATTTAATAGATTTTCAGAGGATTTTTTCTGAAAAAAGTATCCTTCAGAATTTTTTCGAAGTGACTCTTTCCAAGTTTTTGAAGAAATACAGTTCAGAGCGCTCCATGTACCTTCTAAATTTTCGGTCAGAACTGGCCATGATTGTGTTTGTCGTTACCTTGAAAACTGAAACTTCTCAAAGATTTCAAAGTGGTGTTTAACTCGATCATTTTCCCTGTTTTGCAAACTTTGGGTCAGTGTGAATCACATTAATCTCATAAAGAAACAAGTTCAAATTTCATTTATATTTTCTAGAAATCCACGGCAATACAGGTGCTTCGGATAAATTTGACTCTGACAAATACTTAATTATGTGCCTATACGTACATAAAATATGAGAGCAAATCATGTCATTTCACCCATTTTTCTTCAACAATTTTGCTTTAGCACAGAAAATGTCAAAAGTCATGGATCAGACCTCAAAAAGTTCTTCCGCTAATCTTTCAAATTTATGCAGAAAAAGACGAAAGTTTCCACGCAATTGTCCTCGTTTTTCGTCAGTTCCTGAGTCTCATCTCCTTATGGCATGACCCGATTTTCAAAGGTTTATGGCTTTTCCAAAATTCGCTTACTTTGGATGTATCTGCATTGTTTCTCGTCATTTTACTTGATGGAAATCTATTCAATTTTCAAAGAAATTTCTGAGGTTTTTCTTATGGAATGAAATTTTGAGAATTTTGACATTTCATAGATATATTAATTGTGGAATTTCGAATACAGACAAATTCTAAATTTCTCGAAAAATCAGGAAAACTTCGCTTTTCAGTTGCCAGTTCGTTTAGCTTGGAAAAACTAAAGGGTCAAAACGAGAGAATATTTTAGCTTTTGAAAAGCTTTCTGTAAAAGGTATTAGAATTAGAGATCAGTTTATATAGATTATTTTATTTTGCTTTGAAACTACTTTGCTAGTTTTAAAACGAAAAATACTCCTGAGAAAGTTATAAATTTTCTCCAATCTCTGCAAGACCCAAACCAAGTGATAACCTTTTTCTCTCGCTTGAGATCCTCATTGTAACAACCCCGAAGCTTTTTTACATTCCAATATGATCTGGAAAAATTGGTGACGTCGGTGGTTTTAATGCGAAACGATGTGTATAACGTGTTTTTTGGCCGCTTCTGTGTACATTTCTTGGCCGCAGAATGATCACCGTGACAAGTTTGATATGTTGTTTTTTTTATTACTGTAGTCTCCTTTTTATAGAGTTGGTAAGCCTTATAAGGTCAAAAAGTTCTTTTCACAAAAGTTCAGTTCTTACAGGAAAGGTAACTTTAATTTGGAGTTGGGATTCACCTGAAAATGGCCCAGATTTTTCTTGACTGAAGGACGTCAGATTGATCCCTGAAGGGCAAATGAAAATTCCCTATGGGGACCACCTTACCTCCCCTATTGGGGCGCCAAAGCTTGCAAAAGTGGCCACTCTGGGGTCTTCATACGTCTTTTCGTCTTTTATAACATAACCAAAAGTCAAAAGACCCCTATAGGGACCACTTAAGCTTTAGAGACCCTATAACCTCTATAGGGACAACCTGGATTTAAGCCCTCTAGGGAGCACTACTTTGTCTCTTAAAGGGGCTGCTTTCGTCCTCACCCCTCTAGGGGCCACTTTCTTAGAACACAAAAAATAAGAAATTTTGAACTTACCGTGCCTTCAAAACCTGAAATCACGAAAAAATCTCTCTGATTTTCGAGGAGTTCCCCTTTTTAAGAAGAACCGACAGACTGGGAAAATTTTTAGTGGCCACTATAGAAGTTCTCTATTTAGTGGCCACTTCAGTAGTTTTTCATCCAGTATTCCTTCCAGTAACTCTGATATACAAACAGATTGGACCAGTTATGTTGATCCATTGACCTCTAAAGTGGCACTGAAGTTTTCAGTGGTCTAGTAGTAGCACTTAGACCTCTATAGTGACCACTAATTTTCAACCCCTTAAGTAACCACTATTTTGACTACCATAGAGGGGCCACTAAAAGTTTTCCCAGTATATCATTTTTCCAGAGGAAAATTCAAAGTTTGCTAGAATATCTTGGGATTCTTTTAAATGAAGTTTGACCAAAATTATTTTTCCATAATCGTTTCTGGACGAAACTTCGCACAAATGATCCGGATTTCCCCTTTTTTCCTTTATCGAAAATCCAACACTAAAACGGATCCAATCAATCAAATCAAAGCCGATCGGTCAATGGGCTGCTTCCTCATAAAATATTGGAAAAAATCCCAAGATTTATCTCTTTCCTTCTATTCAAATCATCTTTAGAGGTGAAAAAATAAACGGAGGTGGCCGAAAAGCCGTAGAAATCGGAACAGGTTCATGGCCCCTTCACGTTTTTTTCTAACAACCATTTGACGGCGATTTTCAGCAACGTCTTATCTCGAAAATCCCACCGACGGAAAGACTTTCGCCACTTTCCTTTTTTACACCCCTTTTTTGGACACAATTTTTCTCGCAATGATGATCTTTGACTGGCTTTTTGCAGAAAAGTCTTTCAATGAATGAGTGAGCCTGGCGTCAGCCAAGTCCCCCTCGGAGCCAAAGCCAAGTCCCCCGCGTCGGCTCCCAACTGACTCTCTCGCGTTTTCATCAAAGTCTTCAGAATCTGAAGACTTTCAGAAGCTTTCTAGCAATTGGTCGAACGCCTTCCACATAGCTTCCTAGCACCTACTACTTCGAAAAAAGCCTGCCGGAAGCCTTCCAGAAGCTCTCCAGCAGGCTTCTGACAGGCATTTACCATTTTCACCTCCCAATTATCTTCTGAACACCTTCTGAAAACCTTCCCAAAGCCTTCTCAAGACCTTCTAGCTTCTATAAACCTTCAAATCTCCTGCTGGTTCTTAACACCTTCTCTTTAGAAAAAAAGCCTGCCGGAAGCCTTCCAGAAGGTCTCCAGCAGGCTTCTTGCAGGTATTTACCATTTTCACCTTCCAAATACCTTCCGAAGGCTTTTTCAAGACCTTATATTTTCCATTCACCTTCCAACCTCCTGCTGGTTACCTTCCCAACACTTTCCGAAGATTTGCCTGAGTCTAGACTTCTCGTTCAGAATTATATAGAACTGCTCATGCTCACACGGGACTCAGCGGGTGTGCCCGCCCGTATTAAACCTAAATAAGCCCCGCTGGTGAAACTTTCGGCATTTCTCCACCGCTTTTAGCTCATCAGGGAATGGTATCAGCTCACAGTAGGACTTCTGAATGAGACCATGTTTTCTAGATGTAATTTTTCACGCTGATTCCAAATCTGGTCGTTGCCCAATACGTTTTAGCACTACTAAGACTCGAAAAACATGGGTTCAGTACGGATACATCTTTTGGGAGACCTATAAAGCAGGAAGTTGTGATGAACTGTTGATCGGAAGAAGAAGAAATTTGCTCCAAATGCAAAAATGATTTTCTCGGACCAATTCAGAAGTCTCAAAACGCAAGAATTAGCTCCAAAACCAAAAAATGTACGGTTTCGTTACATTTTGCTTTACCAAAACTCAAAAAAAATTTATTTCTCGAAATTTTTTTTAATTTCTTGACCAATCGTCTTCGTAAAAATTTTGAAAAATCGAAATGGAAAAAAAAGTGTAAATAGAGTTTTTCACAATCAAAATTTCTAGATTTTGCATTTTTCAAGGTCGTCGGACTTTTTCCCATATTTGAAGAGCAGCCATTTTCCACAACACATTTAAGCTTTATCGTGTTTATTTTCCTTTTTGGGGTTTATTACGATTTTTCCTGTTGATTTTGTCTGCTAGGTGGGATATTACGATTTCTTAAACATTTCTATGAGTCTCGAGTGTAATTTTTCCTATGGAGATTCAGCCAATATTTTTTTTTTGGCTGTTTTCATAGCTGTTTTCTAATTTTTCAAGGAGTTCGCAGTAATTTCTCTTTTATGGTGATTTTTTGTTTTTAGTAAATCAGAGTGTTTCCTAGTTTTCTTTTATTGTGGCTAGGAGTATCAAATTGAAAATTGTATCAACTTCATGTCAAAAATTTCCTATTTAACATCAGAAAATTGGTTGCCGATTGAAAGAAGTTGGTGGACATTTTGAAGAATAATTGTAAAATTCGGGAGGTTCTCAGCCAAGATTTTGAAAAAGGCGTTTTCTCGAACAAATGTCATCGAAACTTCACATAAACATATTTTTTGTATTTTATTCTTCATAACTAGATTAAGAGGCGAATTTTTGCACAAAAACGAGTCTGGAAACAGGAAAAAAATCTGAATAAACTTCATTAAATTATTATTGATTTTTCAATACTTTATTTCAATTTTCTGTGTATTCCGCTCTAAGCGGTCCCACTTCTAGAAAAAATCATTAAAAAGGTACCGTAATTATAGCTTTTTTTTGTTCTTTCGCTTCGAGACCTTTCGAAACAGCAAAAATGTCAAAGTCAAATCGAAGTTTATGGTGAATTTTTCGGTGGGGATGGCTGAATTTTATTATTTAACAGTTTTGGACATTTTCTAATTTTTTTTCGTATTTTGTGCTTGGAAAAAATGAGAATTTTGCCAATAACCTTGGTAGACCTTGTCACTCGGATTTCTCAAGGTCCACCGTTCCCATGGCGGTCGTTTCCGGCTTCGAAGGCCCATAAACAACATTGGGGAAACGTGGCGAGTGGAGAGGAAGAAGCTGGATTGCGCAACGGCGATAAAAGTGGAGAGGGCGGGGTTTCGTGACACAACCATTCTTGAATTACTCCCTTTCTTGTCCCCCTGCCTTCTGTCCGATTCGGTTCCAAGCTGCGATGGTCTTGAGACTTTCTTTCCTCTTCTGAAGCTTTTCGTTGTATATTTCTTCGAAGTTTCTTGTGTAGTCCGCTCGAAAATCTTCGCTGAAAACATACGTGGGCGGCGGTTAAATTTAATAGTGACGTCATGTCGCACCCTCCCCAACTGGCAGCGCACCATACCCAATTTTCGTCGCACCATACCAAAAGCGTTTTTTGACGTCACATGACGTCATTTTCGCTCACTGTCGCGAAACAATCGTCCATATTGTGCATTTTCGTTTTTTCCGCTATATAATATTTTTTTTAAATGGGATCATAGATTTTAACTTTTTCGCATTTTAAGAGGACTACTATCAAAAAAAAAACAATGCAGACGACTTTTTTTAGGTTTCAATCTTGATTCATCTTTTTTCTCAATTGGTTTGGCCCTTTTTTGGAGCTCTCAGACAACGAACCGGTGAGCACCGGTACGGACCGGTAAAAACTGAAAATTGGGAAAATGCGGACTTTTTGATCCAGTTTTCTCATAATTGAGTGAGGTCATTGTTTTAAGGCTAAAAGTCAGTTTGGAACTTGATTTGACCATTTTGAGCCGAGTTATAGACCCGGGCGCACCCTACCCAGTCCAACTGGCGCACCATGCCAAACCATCAAAAAGTTAACTTTTTCCACTTTTTATTCATGAAAAATCATTTTCTAGACGATTTGAATGCCTAGAAGCCTTTTTTGAGCAAGCTTTATCATTAACCGGTGAGCACCGGTACGGACCGGTAAAAACTGAAAATTGGGAAAATGCGGACTTTTTGATCCAGTTTTCTCATAAATTGAGTGAGGTCATTGTTTTAAGGCTAAAAGTCAGTTTGGAACTTGATTTGACCATTTTGAGCCGAGTTATAGCCCCGGGCGCACCCTACCCAGTCCAACTGGCGCACCATGCCAAACCATCAAAAAGTTAACTTTTTCCACTTTTTATTCATGAAAAATCATTTTCTAGACGATTTGAATGCCTAGAAGCCTTTTTTGAGCAAGCTTTATCATTAACCGGTGAGCACCGGTACGGACCGGTAAAAACTGAAAATTGGGAAAATGCGGACTTTTTGATCCAGTTTTCTCATAATTGAGTGAGGTCATTGTTTTAAGGCTAAAAGTCAGTTTGGAACTTGATTTGACCATTTTGAGCCGAGTTATAGCCCCCGGCGCACCCTACCCAGTCCCACTGGCGCACCATGCCAAACCAACGAAGTCAATAAAACAACCTTTACATCTACTTACTAAAAGAGAAACTGGTCAAGAATAATGTTTTTGTTAAAAACTGTTCAAGTTAGAGGCTGTTCTGGAATTTTTCAGTAGAGACTATAAAAGAAAGTAGACGTCAAAACTTGGTGGACATTAGTGTTTTAAAATTTGACCGTCGATCAATGACCGTTCAAAAGATTTCTTATGTTCAGTTTTCGAACGGTTATAACATGTCATTTTTTCTGACCGTTCGTTTGACCGACCAGTTTCATGAAATCTACTAAACCGACCATTTTAAAGGTGACATTTCGAACAGTCAAAAACCAACATGTCACTCTTAAGTGAGCTATATTGAAATCGTTGAAACTCAACCGTTCGACCAATGACCATTTATTATGACACGATGAAAACTATTGTTCCAGACGGTCGGTCGAACGATCAATTTTTAAACTAGAATAGGCATCTCTATAAAATTTCGGTTTTGAAAATAAAGTTTTCTTAAGGAAAAAAAGAAAAAAATTAGTTTCAGAGTTTGAAGTTATTATTGGCAGACCTAATTTTTCATTGAATTTTTGATGAATCATGTCTCCGAGTGCACCAGTAATTGTAAATGTAAAATTTCAAAACTGGAGATGGAATTTGGTCCTAGATTTTTCGATTTATCGCTTTATTTCTGTTTTCGTCTATGAATTTTCTTTGGTTTCATTGTGTTTCTGAGGTTCGTTGATATTAGAAAATTTGAAAAAATTGTGATTTTCATCATGCTTTTTGTTTTTTTTGCCCCATTTTTGCACTTGTACACTTGGGGATGCTCGGATATGATCTCGATTTGAAACAATTTTCCATATTTCCCGAATAGTAGTAGACCAGAGCACAATGAAGACTAATATGAGTCATGAAAAGCAGTCTGACAAAAGCAGGTGCGAGGGGCGGCCCGTCAACCTCTCGGCCTTCCGGTCACTTCCCAAGCCCGGCCCGGCCCGGCCTTAGAAGGGCCTCAAGCAAAAATGGCCGGCCCGGCCCAAAAAGCTCAAATTTTTTTCATTTTCAACTTTTCGCTTTTTTAACGAGAAAAGTGGGATTTTTTACTTATTTATCCTCATAGAGTTATAAGAGTTATAAGAAACTATGATTTAACAAGTAAAATTATTTTTCGGCGAAATTTCAAAAAAATGAAATTCAAGATTTTTTTTTTCCAAAGTCCGGCCTGACCCGAGCCCGCGTAGGCTTTTTTTAAAAAAATTGGGGCCCAAAGCCCGGGCAGACCGGCCGGCCTGCCGCACAAGCCTGGACAAAAAGTGACAAATTTTTTTGCGCGAAACGCCTACGCTTTGAAACAAAAAAAGGTGAGTTGAAGAAAAATAGTTGAAAAATTTCCTCTAAATGCTAGTAACTTCTCAGGAAAAAACAATGCGAAACATTTTTTTAGGCTGTTTTATTGAAAAAAAGGAGTATATTTTAATATTGTAATATCAGTTTTTTTGTTTTTGCCAACAACTTCAGAGTGTCAGATTAATAGGCGCTCAAACAATATTACAGAAGAAGTTTTTTTTTGGGAAAGAAACCTCAAATTTTCGCCCTCCCTTTCTCCGTTCTATTCGAAAAAATCAAATTGAGAGCTTCTCATCAACTGCATCAATTTTTTTATGTTTTGAAGTCCGGGAAAATTTGTATCACCAAGCAAAAAAGAAACCTAAAATGGAAGTTTTGGAGTTAGGAATCTTTATGAAAATAGTGAGCAATTGTTAAACTATTCAAAAAAAAATTGATTACGTGACTTCAAAACTTTGATTGGATTCCAATTTAGTGGAATTTTTTTTCAAATCGTTGATGGAGTTACGACTTTTCAGAAATTTCAGCTTAATTATTTTTTTTCACAGAACTTTAAACTTTGAGAAAACTCGGAAGTTTTCGGCTTCTTTTCTTCAAATAAAATCACTTTTTTTCGTAATATTGAGATGATATGGAAATGCTACAGGGGAGGGAAAAAGGCCACGAGGAGAGTTAACAAACTCCCATTTTTTTAAAGGAAAAACTTTTATATGAGTGAGAAAGAAAAAAAGTAGAACCAAAACAAGTTTTTTTACTTACGGCGCAAACTTATGAACTATTTAAAAAAACATGCTCGCGCCAAAATTTTCTGCATAAATACTCTAGAACATGGTTTTATATATGTATTTTTTCTTATCTACCTCTCTTATTATACTAATATTCCAGAATAAATTTCGTTCTGAACATTGATGAGTCTGATGAGGTAGAAAAAATTGAAGGAGACCAAGGTAGGTTTCGCTCTTGTTAACATGAAAGCATTTCCTGTAAATGTCTTCATGATGCAATGATTATTAAATTTTTTTCAATAGTTAGAATTAGATTTCTATATGAACTTCGAAAAATGTTTTTCATAATAAGATTTAAATTATATTTCAAACTTTTTTTACATGTGTATTGTTCTTTTTTTCAGTAGTTATTTAAAAATTTTTTTGTAAAGTTTCTCACTGAAGCAAATTTTAGCGGCATTTAAAAATTTCTAGAGAAAAAAATAAGAGCATTTTGTGACTTAAAACTTCTCTTTTTCGCATTTGTTTGGTTATTTTCTTCAAAAAAATATCAAGAAAAAAACCAAAAACATTTTCTAGCCTTTTTTTCCGATTTTTTTCTCCACGGAACTTTTTTTATAAAAAAACATTAATGATTGAAAAAAATAGAAAAGGAAAAAAAGTTGTTTGCATTATTATAAAAAGTCTTTTATAAGTAAAATATTTAAAAAAACTCTGTGAGCGTTTTAGCGCGCGCGAACGCCGCGAGAGCGCGCTGGGTTGTTTACAGTTTTGGCCACTATGACGTCATGTGACGTCACGC